AGACACAAAGGCATAAAAAAGGTAAGATGAGTACTGTGGAAGGGGTAGAATATGACATTCAGTGGGGTGATGGTATTTTGAAGCCAGAAGTCAACTCTCAGTTAATAGACTTTTTTGCCATATGAGTATACGTCGCGAAGGGTACACCACGTGGAGGTAAGTCTATCGCACACCCCAGCGTAAAGATATGGAAGGGTCTCATTTAATTTAGTTTTAGTATTCGGTAGTACATTGGATATTGGGGGTAGTTCGTCTCTTGGATTGGCACTTATGCCTACTAATTCCATCTTTTCTCGTTCAACGGCGGAGCTTGCGGTCTAAAGCTTACTGAAACAGAGGCAACTACATAGGCTGTGCCTGTCATTTCTTCCATTAATGAGGTGTCTGGTGTATCTATTTCTAACCAATTTGTGATCGTAATGGAATAACTAGCGAAATTAGACTGTCTATTCTTTGAAAAAGTTGCTCTAGTGGTAAAAGCTATTTCATGCTCGCACAGTAAAAATCAACAGCGTTTCTGGACTGGTGAATTTGGTAAGAAATGTGCCATTTTGTGACCCCCCCCCCCCCCCAATATCTCTAGGCAGCACAAGCAATAGAAATTTGAAGTTTCAAGATGACATGGATTGTGTAAATTGAGAAAACTTGTTTTTTACGACGATACTTATCGGACTTTTAAAGATCATGATTTTATTCCAATTTCTTCGGGCTCGAGTCTACACGTCATTACCAAGTGCGAATGCAAGCCCTTACATGGACCCAAATCAAACTGCGGGATACAATGCTCTTTCCATTGGTTTGGACTTCTGACCCACAAGAATGGTAGTCTAGGTTTGACCAAGATATAAAGGGGGGGGGGGTGGAATGTGATGAATTAGAAGTTGGAAGGACGCGGAAATAGTCTATTTAAGTTGAGTGGAAACCTGTTTGTGATAAAGAGGACACATTAAAATATGCCACCAATAAGTAACTTACCATGCACTGTCTGCAATCAATAAAAATCATATTCTGGTTGTTAGTTCAGTTAGTTAGGTGTATTGGCCAGTGTGGGCGTTCGAAAGAATGGTACAAATTACCTTGCTAAAAGGACTCCGAACGAGTAGGGAATAAAGCTGACCTATGAATTAACCAAGACAAATGGAAGTGGTCACATATGTGTAAAATTCTCCTGCTGCTTGCGGATGAAAACTGTGTTTATTTTAAATGAGTGCGAAAGCATGTCAATTTAATAGGCTCTTTCTAAACAATGGGGGCGGATATACGCACATCGGATCTCTCCGCCCATAGCTGTTTGTCTTGCAATCTAGTCCGTTTCAAAATTCAAACCCATCATAATTAACACTTTGTTTATTTGCTGGAATGCAGGAGAGCCTAATAATAAAGATGCTGCCTAATGGAAAATACATTAACTTAATATCTAATAGGCGTATTATATTTACATTTTATCATTGGCCGTATTCGTAATCATCAAGTAACGACCTGTGTTCAAACACTTCAACTCCTTCAACCATTTAAAACGCTCGAATTATTTTTTTTTCGAAAAATGCACCCAACTGCGCTTACGCATGTCTCATAGCAGACTGTTGCCGACATGATGAGAGATTTGGTGGTAAAAGGCGATGGCCATAGACATGTATTGAACATGTTTCCAACGACAATAGCGCCTTCTGTTACAAGTCCAGTACCAATGGAGCTTATTTTGAAAGTTGACCGTACGCTCAAGAAATTGTATACATAATTTAGGCTTTCTCTTCATTGTAGGAACAGGTAGTGTTTTTAAAATTGGGCTTAATATAGCCCAAGTTTCACTTGACAACAGAGCGCCTATACCTTCAGGCATAAATGATTCGCGTGGGTGATCGACTTAAACTGCATTCCGCAATAAACAAAACTCACGTAGAGAATATAAACCATCGTAACTGCGGCAACCCGCAGATTTAGCTTCAGAGGTCACTTTGTTCGTCGTTTGTAAGTCATTTGACTACTGCTATTTGCTTTTGAAAAAAAAACAAGTTTATTTTGTTCCTTATAATAACATTGTTAATTTTCTAAATATTTTCTTCTGTTATTCAATAAGGCTTTACAATTTCGCTAGCTTCTTGTCCATCAGCATTCAGCTTGCGAATGCGAATTTCAGCATAATTTCACTATAATCCTACTTTGGTTGTGTATCAGGCGAAGGCTATAGACGCATTAAACATGTTTAAAACGGCAATAGCGCCTTCAGTTACGAGTCCCGTACGGTCCTAAGGGCGGTAAAGGGTTAATAATATCACAATATCAGCACCAATTTAACTATTTGTACCTGGAAAATCTTATTGGAAATTTGTTTTCCTTCCTGTCGACTCAGTGATGCATTTCTGCATGGAATGAACAGAGGAGGAGGAATTGCGGATTGCACTTTCTCCCTTAGACATTTTTATATAAAAAGAATGCCTTAAGATAATTGATGTACGAGAACCCAATTATCACTCATGCAAACTCTTTCCTAATGAGCTTGCTACTGTTTTTTTTCACACACGACCCTGTTTGAACCGCTGTAATACAAGAATGCCTAACTTCTATTTCTTTGACCCACATTCATATAAGATGTCGGCGGGATACAGGTGTCTTCGAGATAAAATAGAATTACCGTCACTTCAAGTCATTTCATTGACTCAATAAAGGCAAATATGAAGTAATTTCAGTCGTATTTCTGTTTTTGATCCTGAATATTTATTTATATCAAATGGCAGGCGTTTTGATAGTTATCATTAGTCCTGGAGCTGACTTCGGGGCTTCACGGAGAGGAGAAGGGACATCAAATTGACAAAAAGTCGGGACGGGAGACAGAATAATGATTCACAGAGGTAAAAGAGACAGACAGACACAAAGGCATAAAAAAGGTAAGATGAGTACTGTGGAAGGGGTAGAATATGACATTCAGTGGGGTGAGGGTAGTTTGAAGTCAGAAGTCAACTGCCAGTTAATAGACTTTTTTGCCGTATGAGTATACGTTGCCCAGGGTGCACCACGTGGAGGTAAGTCTAACACGCAGCCCTGATCCTGAATATTGAAACACTATTAGCAGTAATGGGTGGTACGCATCTGCTGAATGGTGCGATGATAGGCGACTTAGAGATAGCCTGTGTGCGTATAACTCATCAGTGCAGGTTTATTTGTTGGCGTCCTATCATGGCCATTCCACAACGCTGCTTCATTCACTGTAAATATGTCAAATCTCTGCTATATTCTTCTTCTAACTCTTATCCCTATAATTTCCGTGCTCTTCAAACTCCTTTTTATTGTTGATTTTAACTATGTTATTTCATTTGTATTATTTGATAAAAGCGAATTCCTTGATTTTGAATGTCACCATGTTGCCAAAGGATACTCCTAAAATGCCTAAATATGAACAGAAGTTCTGCCGTAATATCAGTAATATAATCAGTACCCTGAATATTTTGGGCACGATATTGCAAAGGTAAGGTTNGACTTCTTAAGGTCAAAGGAGAAATAAATTTATTACATTTTTCTGCGTTTAAATGAAGCGCCTTTTTAGTCGCCTTAACTACCTGCTAGTTATGAAATGGAATAATTAAGAAAATTTTCCCTACATTTTAGTCATTCCACACTGGGTTGCAGCAGTAAAGAAAAACGGATGGAAAAAAGCAGATCTTGTGAGTCACAAAACAGTAAAAGGCAATAAAGCATTGTAATTTATGAAATTGAACTGCAGAATTGCAGAAAAGTTATTATTAAAATAAATATAATATTATTTAATTAATGAAATGTTAATATGACATATGTTGCGCATTAATAAGAATTTGTGCAAAGTATGACAATGCTTTAATAGGTACATATAGATGGTCACACTGATATGGATTATCCTGACATACTGGAAGGTCTACCCTTGGGAAGGAAACCACAATCCGTTGAGGAGATTTCAGCAATGATGCAAAGAAATGATCAATTCATCCAGGTACGTGAAAATTCAAAATAAGGGACTTATTTAATAGAATATTTTTACATCAAATGACAGGCTTTATAATAGCTATCATTGGGCCTTTTGTTGACTTCGGGCTTCACAGAGGGGAGGAAAAGACAAAGCCACAAAAAGTCGAGGAGTGGGGAACAGAAGAGCGATTCACAGATGTAAAAGAGACAGACACAAAGGTATAGAAAAGGAAGTGGTTGAATATGACATACAGTCGAGTGATGGTAGTTTGAAGTCAACGGCCAGTTTATAAGCTTTGTTGGTGTATGAGTATGCATTGCCCAGGGTGCTCCACGTGGAGGTAGTCTATCCCGCATCCCATTCAATAAAATATCACCTTATTGAAAATAAGCACGCTAACTTCCTATCACGTACTGATTTTGTTTAATTGTAAAGTAGCTCCAATCTCGAAAGTAAAGCAACTTTAAGAAAAAAATTTTATACCGTTAATAATCACCTTTAGTTCTTTCCAACTGAGATCAATAGTAGGTGAGCATCTAGGTAAGGAATGGGTAGAGGTGGCAGGAAACAACAGGAAAGGACAAGTGTTGCTGAGCAACTAAAACCCGCCTTGAGAGAAGGAGGCTCTATAAGGGCACTAAATGGAGTTGAAATAAACTAGCAGCCTGAAAAAATCAATTTTGCTTCCATTCCAAATCTGTATGGAAAAAAGTACTTATCATTATTAATATTATGGTATTATTATTATCGATTAGTTACCCCAAACAAAGTGATATTTATATTTTTATCATTTTATTGCTTGAATGATAGGGGAATATATGTCAAGTAATAATTTTCGAAACTATGGTCTTCGATCTTCCACCAATTTAACGCAATTCAAATTACATCAGCCAGAAATTCACAATCCCTAAACGTGTGAGCAAGCGAAAAGCACCTCATTAGTCCAATAAAAGGCGAAGAGGAGGGAAGAAGGAGGAAGCTGAAAAGGGGTCAAGATGTTAATCGAGTCTTACACTGACTGAATTATAGTTTTGTACTTGATGTGCTTTACTTATAATGCTCTAAAGTTCAAATCTTGGGGTATGTATGCTGGCCTACTGATTGGAACCAAGCTTGCCGTATCCAACTCTTACCTTCTATTTACTTACTAATATTTGGCATGATTACGCTAGCCATTATGATGCTAACAAAGTATTTTCTCAATTTGAGAGATAAGGGTTTAATAACTGTAAACAGTAAAGAATTGAGATTTCCAAATACCTCATTTGATTAGTGAATCTTTAAAACTGACTTAGTCGGTGGTCAAATGTCCAGTGCTGTTTAATATATCCTAATCATAATTTTCTCCACTTTAACTTCAAAGAAACTTTCATTTGGAATGCAGATTTAGAAGTTTCCTTTGTTGAAATGCGGTAGGCGAAATGGTTATTTTGCATTTATCATTTATTTTATCTTAATATTGGGCTCGAACATTAATCATTGGATTGAAAAAAGGTTATTGAAATACTTCTTCGTGCTATTTCTTAGAGAAATGATGCTGATCTTTAAGGGATTTACTTTAGCCACAAATTCCTCATAGTATTGTGAAAATGACTGCTTGATGCATTGTCTGCTAGCTTATATTAGACTTATATAAGTGTCAGTAAATTGGGAGGGATTTAAGTCTTGGAAGTTGAAAAAAATGTCAAATTTTCATTAAAACGCCAGAATTTACTTCAGTACTGCATTGGAAATGAATTGGCTTGGACAATTAAAAGACATTAGAACTATTATTTTGATAGGCTGCAGTTCTGGGAAATCTCCTTCGCTCGGCCTACATAATTCTTCCAACGTGGACAAGTAGCTTAAACGTCGCATATAACGCCTCCATTGGCTTGGCACCCAAGAATTTCAGCCATGACAGTCAACTCTGCCTATGCATGGCTAATTCAAAGGCGGAGGAAGTCTGTCAAATAAAAAGCTTCACATCAGAGGAGATGGAAACTGAGTTACCCACTCATATCTGCAACCCCCGTCTGGCCTACTATCGTTTTGCCGAACTAACTTCATCTAAAGCCGCATCGGGAACTCTTCGACAGCTGTTCAACAAAAACCATACTCCAGCACCTCTTATAATCGATATTGATGAAGATTTCTTTGGTGTCCAATTACCCTCCGCAGCATTAATGCAACAAGGCTGGGAATTAATTGATATTTTGTCCTTGTCGTACCCATTGAAGGAAATCTTCTGCCCTCCCGAAGAGCTTTCTGGAGCAGAAGAATTGAAACTCGACTTATGGTTTCAGAAAACTGTGGAGTCTTTCAAAAATGCCGGCTGTTTTAGCCAATATCATTGCTCACATTTGCATGACAACTCGAGTATTTCATTCCCATGTCAAGAAGAAATCCACAAGTCCGTGTTTTTCATGGACCCAAGATGGAGATGCCAAAATATTGATGAGGTCATCTTTAATATGAAGCGGCTAGTAATCCTACTGTCTTACTATCCCCATCATTACTTGAATGTTCTCATGGAAGCTGGAGTATGCCTAGAAGTTGCAAGTAGATCCTACAAAGTTCAGCCAAGAATTCACTTTTGTCTGGGTCACAATTATCCCGGAGCTTCCGTTGTGCCTGAATATGGCCCCGCGTATGAAGAAATAATTGAATTAGCACGGAATATGACCAGGATTTTAAAGGCAACGTTACCCCGAAAGCCCGCTGCAATAACAATTGCTAGGTCAATTCGAGATGGATATTCCATTCGAAAGAACCTGTCCTTAGTGGAAACAATAATAAAAATGGTCTTAAAGAGAGTCTACAATCTTACCGACGAGAATTTCCATTATTCTGAATATTTGGCTGGAGGTCCAAGGGGTTGGGCAGACAGATATCAGAAAAAAAGAAAAGTTTTCTAATTTTGTATTATTTTCTACTTTAACTTGATCTATTTGGATATAAAATTTCTTGTCAACAATAGTACGTATTTCCTTTGTATGAGGAGTGGTAGGCGTTAAGGAATGTTTAAAATATTTGATAATGGTAAAAGGCACTCTTATTTATTAGATTCTTCTATTGGTTAATTTTGTTATCAAGTTTAGTTTTAAGTACTCTAAAATTTCTCTCCTAATAGAATGTAATAACTAGAATTACAGCGCCTTGATTGCTTCCGGTTGGTAGTGAATGGAGCAATTAATTTGAATGAAAATCCAGGGTTTTGAAGTTAAAAGGATTTTAGATACATATCTACTGCTAATGAAACGTCTCATTGAGTTGGGCCTTTTGACAGCGAAAACAAACTGTTTTTTATTAAGCAGCAGGGCCAACATTAATAGCATAATCCAGAAACTCAAATAATTCAAAATAGTAAATTGGATAAATAAAAGACCGAGTCCTTGCCATTTGCCTTCATAACCGGTTAGTGTTAAATGTTGTCATTAAATATATCATCATTCCTGGTAATTTCATGTCAATAATTGAGCTCCTTTATTCCGGTCATATGTGAATTTAAGTGTAATTCAGGCTTCAGGTTATTGGGGTTGACTGCATAATAAAAATCAAAATATCGGGAATTCGATTGTGAAACATGGGGGTTAGATACACGCCCTTCTCCAATGGTGTTTCGACACTCGTATTGCTAGGAAAAGGTCGTATGCTGGAAGTCACAAAAACTATAACTGAACTGTTGTCCAGCCGAGTTAAGACGAATATTTTTGTCACGGCAAAATAAGAAAAAAAAGATGGAAGATGTGATGGAGTTCTTAGTTTGGAGAGCAAGTACAGGGGACTCCAACCCTATAACTGATAAACAACCAGGTGTTTTGGTAAAGAGTAACGTTTGGGGTGTATCCAATGAACAATGATAAATTAGCACATAGTGCTGCTCAATATATGAAAATTCCATAATAAAGAATTAGCTATGAGCAAAATGATTGGCTGTGTTTAAGCTTCAAAGCGATCAGGCACTAATTTCTTGAAATCTACGAATAGTAAATGCAAGAAAGGATTGAAAAGCATCAGCTAGCCAAGAACACCGTACTTCTCGTTGCATAAGCAGTAAAGTCTGGTAGTTAATCGATCAACTACTGAGGCTGCAAAATTTATGAGCTGTTAAAATTAACATTTTAACACTGATTCATTCTTGCTACTGAATTTTCAACGGTTTAAGTATTCTTCTAGACTATTCAAGCAAAATGCAAGTTTTGCTTAAGCAGTCTATGTGAAAAGTTTCATTATCTGCCCATAACATAATTTCCAGTCACTTTGTGTTTCCATAAAGATTGACCAAAAGGTTTATTCCAACCGAAACTTTATCAGTTGAGGATAGAAATACATTCGTCTAAAAAATTCTTTAAGAGAAAGCTGCATTTAGCAATAGTCTCGCAAAGCCTAAAACAGTTTCACCAAATTTTGAATATCCCCAATCATTATGCGAAATGACCAGACTGTTTTCTGATAAGTTCTCTCTCTCTCTCTCTTTCTCTCTCAGAAGACACATCTGATTATGGCAGTAGTGACCTAAAGACATTATGTGTTTCATGGTCAAAATTTAATTGGTAGATTTTGGTGCTTCCGTGCGCGTTTTCTGTGCCTATGTGTATGTGAAAGAGTGATGATTGCACATGCACGCTACAGTGTGCGGAATGGCGATGCCTTGGCAAGCAGCACCACAGTAGATCGTTTCGGAGGAGGTTTGCGAAAGAAAAGTCTGAGAGAAATAAGGGGGCATCCAACTCGTAGATATAGGCATGCACACACGCACTCGCGCACGTACTTGATTGCGTCACATGAACTTGCCTATCGCACTCACGTGTGTGGACAAGCGGGCTTAAGGAAACATGCAGGCTAACGACTGAAATAACCGCATACTACGACTGCTACCCCTCCTTTCCCTCCCTTCCTTCGTCTTCAGTATCTTTCTAATTTTATAAATGTTATATCCTCCTAGAGACCTTGTTTTAGCTAAAGAGAGAGGGGGAGGGGGAGACTAATTAGCTATGCTAGGCATCCCTGTAAGATCTCAGATAACTAGTGTGAGTGTAAATATTCAAATTTGAATAAAAGTTGATTATTTTAGATTAATCCCTTAGAATAACTTTTCAATGATTTAAATTTGACATTTACTAGGAGTTTTTTATCGATTTTCTTAGGCCCAACTGAGTCTCTGTGCAGCAGTACTATATTAAGCTAGTTAAACAACAGCATATTCTTTGCAGAGAATGCATAGATTTCAATATAATCCTTACTGGGAGATAGAAAAAGTAAACTGGGGCTTCAATCTTGAAATGAAGCCTCCCACTTTCCCTTTATTTCTAAATACTCCGTTCCATGAAATGCTTAAGGACGTAATGTCGAAACTTGTCTTTCAAGAGAAGTGGATGAACATTTTGGTAGATATCATTTTTGGAAACCGAGGTTGGTATTTCACGATCAAATATTTCGAAACCAGCTGGTGTTCCCCGATTCGACTTCGAATTCACGTTGAATAAACTGCTGATCTCGGATTTATCTATTAATATACTGTAACTTGATATAATAAAGTGCATAACAAGTTCTGAGATGTATTCAGTCCGTCTTGACTTCTCCTGGAACTGAAGGTAGGTCCAAAGAGATGGGGGGGGGGGTTATTCCTTTAGCAATTAAATGTTGTAGATATTCCTTATATCAAGTGGAAGTTCAATATGGACGTCGCAATACTACAACGCCCTTTATATTTTTTTAATTTTTTTAAATTAAAAATATGGTGTTATGTTAATTGGTTTGACTATGTGATGGTAATGAAGATACCAAACCGCTGAGAATTATACATTGGAGAGTGAAACCCATCATTATATTCGGTAAGTTCTTAATGCGAATACGGCGATGGTGTTTGTAAAATTTTTGAAAAGAAAATCCTGGAGTTATTTGCATTAAGCTCTAATTCAACTCTTAAAATGAAATTAAAGCAACAGATCATCTACTGAAATAGCCGAAATTCATTTTCGCTAAATTCTGATTCGTATTTTACAATACTATTCGATAATCATGGCATATCCGATCTACACTGACAGGTACATTGAGGTAAAAAATGCTTTGTTCTCGATTTATGAGATTTGATCTAGTGAGTCCGAGCAGCGTTAAAGATAATATTACATTAACAGACAGGGAGTGTGCGATAAACTTACCTCCACGTGGTGCACCTTGGGCAACATATGCTTATACGGCAAAAAAGTCTATTAACCGGTAGTTGACTTCTGACTTCAAGCTACAAAGACCCCACTGCATTTCATATTCGAATAATTACACAGTACTCACCTCACCTTTTTTCTACTTTTGTGTTTGTTTCTTACATCTTTGAAACACTCTTCTGTTTCCCCCTCCCTCTCTTGACTTTTTTCACTTTGATGTTCCTTCCCTTTGTGAAGCCTGAAGTCAACTAAAAGGCTAATGATAACCATCAAGACGCCTGCCATTTGATATAAATAAATACATTAACAGACAGTTACACTTGCCACGGCCGCAGTCAAAAAGTACAGAGAATAATCTAACAGAATTCTAACTCATAGAAAGCCCCTGATCGGGATATTCTCATACGCGAATGGAGACAAAGAAATGATTTTATTTGATAAAAATTTTCAAAATAATTGTAAAATTCAAAAGTCGATCATAATTTTTACTATTACTTTGAACAATGGGGAGGATACACCTTATTATCTTACCGTATAGCTTTCGTGATCATTTAGAGAAACGAGTCACCATGCTTAACCTGGCTGGAAAGAGAGTTTCGTGAAGCCGGCTTGGAGA